TTAAATAAAAAAAATTAAAAATTGATATTTTTAAATAAAAAATATTAAAAATTGATAAAATTAACAATTTTTTTAAACAATGTTATCATGAAGCAAGTTTGAATTCATCGGAAAAAAAAAAAAGAAATGCACCTTAATGCGACGAAATCCACTTGACATGAAGGTCTAGTTTGATAAAATTAACATATTTAAAGAAAAAAAATTATAAAGTTCACATTTTTTTTCACCTTTACTCCACATTTCATCCATCATTTTACCAAAAAAAAAACAGAAATAATATTCTTTTATTGGCCCGAGATACTACGTCGGTGGTATACCGGCGACACAACAGAATTTTTCGAGACCAGAGACAGAGCTTGATTGGGTGATAAAGTGACAACAGCCAGTTTGTAAATGGACCCACTAAAATAATCACCGTCAATCACGTGCAAAAGGGTGCACAACAGCCGAAGGATCCCATCCTCGCAACTCCTCATCTGCCACATTCATTCCAAAGCCAATCATGGCTTTGAAATTCCTATGCATCAACTGCCCAACACAAACCAGCCAGACATCTCTCTTCCCATTTCCCTGGTTTTCTTGTGTTGCTTTTGCAATTTCTCTCAGGAATCCCGCTGTTCCCTTCTCTCTTTAGAAAACCGTTCACTTAGAGCTATTAGTTTGTTAAAATTTTATTATATTGTTAATTTTTGTTTATTTATTAAAAAATTAATATAAACAAATTGATAAAAAATGATCAAGTATATATTTTTTGTATTAATCTCTTAATATTTTGTACTCACACAATGAATTTGATTAATATGAAATTGAGACACAAAATTTTTTTACTCAAATTAATAAATTATTGATAATTATCAAGTATATTTTACATTAAAAAAGTTTTGAAAAGCCTTTTTTTAAATGTAAAAAGAAAATTTTATTAATTAAAAATTGTGTTAAAAAAATAAAAAAATAGAAATATTATTTTTATTTTTTATTATAATATTATTATATATAAAAATACATAGACAACTAAAAAAAAACAATTAAAAAACTTTAAGAATAAGGTATCCCCAGTCAAACAACCCTTATTGTGGAGCGCACAAACCGGTTAGATTTCGCGCCTGAATTTTTGGCGACGACATTGCGGGTCGGGTAGACCCGAAATATACGACAACTCATTCCCATACTGCATTTATTTCCATCGGCTTTTATTTTTCAACTGAAAATCAGTGTCGGCTCAAAATCAGATTTTAAGTCCAAAAATAAAGTACTACAACTACAGAAAGGCACTTTCTACTTGGAGAAAAAGCTTTCTCCATTGTTTCTCCTCCTCCTGGAATTGTTTTAGAGAACACAGTTTCTTGAATCATCATTAACCTTTCCATTTTTGGTTTTCAATTTGAATTGGTTTCTTTCTGCTACATTGTGAAGAAAACAGTCCCCATCTGTAGGATTTGTCTGGCTTCTTTTTCCCTTGCTTTGCAGGTATGAATATCTGTCCTGTCTTGAATCCATGTTTTCAATTCATGTATGGCCAAGAAGTGTGGAATTTTTTTTTTTTTTTCTTTTTGGTACATTGCCGAGTTAGTTGTTGGAGAGTACAGGGATTTGAAGTTCCAACTTGACCCCAAATTAGAGTTTTTAAGTTAGTAGGTACCAACTCAACCAAATTTTTGTTGGTTTGTGGATTCCATGTTTGTCCAGAAGAAAAATGGCTACTGCATGCCTACTGGGTGTTGCAGTTTGGATTTCAGTTGCTTCTATTTACAGAATGACTAATCTGATAGACAGAGAAAGAGTTTGATGCAGATGCATTTTACTTATTTTGCTGATTGATGTCTGCATAAATTTCGATGTTTTAAGAGATGGGTATTTTACTTTTCTAGATTATGCGCTGAAGAATGCACATTGATAAAGCTTTAGGCTGTTGTTGTTAGTAACTTGGGGGAGTATTTGGCTTCTCTAGATTCAACTGGAAATCTGAAATATCAGTTTTTGTTTGAATGCGTTGCGGTCTTTTGAATATCAAAATATTTTCTAATTACACGCAAATGACTTTCCTTTTTTTTTCTTTTTTATAACATGAGTATAGGACCTTTGACCCTAACTACTAATATTTAATAGTATGTCATGTTACTTGTTAAATGAAATATTAGTTTGCTTTGGTATGAAATGGTGGTGGAATTGTATAATACTTAGGTCCCTCTTAAATTCTAAATCTAGAATATAAATATAAATATAATTTCTCCTCCTAGCTTGCGATGCTAGAATTCTTAGCTTTTCTAATATTGATTACTAATATTTGTATGCCAGAATGATTTATGCAAGGTTTAGCCACCCGTGGTTAAATCTTCTAGTTTTTGGACTTGTCTTGCTGAAAACAGATGGCCTCTATGTGGGAATTACCTACGTTCAAAATGCTGTGGCTAAAGGCGCCGGTACAGAATTTTATTGAGAACAAACTTATGGTTTCCTTGATTTTGTGTGATTGAAGTTGTTAGTGAGTTCAACTTAATAATTTGTTTGTGCAGTTTGTTTGGATGGGAGCCCTCCGGCCTACCACTGGGACAGGGGATTTGGTTCTGGAATTAATAGTTGGTTGGTACACCTTGAGGTTTGTCTGCCTATCATTATCCATTTATTGGTTCTGGAATTAATATTTGGTTGGAATTAGCATAGGGATGCTTCAGTAACGTCTAACTGCCAGTATGAGACCACCATGTTAATTGTATATCATTACTTTTCTTATTATTATTTCATTGTCATAACATGTGCTTTTGTTTCTGATACTAGGGAGGTGGATGGTGCAACAATGTGACAGCTTGCCTTGAGCGTAAGAATACCCATTTAGGCTCCTCTAAGAAAATGGCCGAGCAACTACCTTTCTCTGGTATTTTGTGCAACAGACCACAATGCAATCCAGGCAAGACTTTGTATTTTACTTGTTTACCACCATATATACCACTTGTCTTCAACCATATTTCTTGATTCAATTTGTAGAGTTTTACAATTGGAATAGAGTCAAAGTCCGGTATTGTGATGGGTCATCATTCACTGGCGATGTGGCAGCCATCAATCCAGTAAGTTATTGCAACTTGACACTCATTTTAAGCTCTGGGGCAACTTGAATAAAAGGTTTATTCCATTTTTCTTTTCCTGTTTTGTTAATCTGACAGTAATTTGACCAGGCTACAAATCTTCACTTCAGAGGTGCAAGGGTTTGGCTAGCTGTTATGGAGGATCTATTGGCAAAAGGAATGAGAAATGCTGAAAATGTAGGATTCAATTGATAATCTGTTAACTTCTTAGTTTCCCCGGGTTACCTGCCCCTATCTGTGATAATTGATATTTAACTCGTTCAACTTCCTACCGTAGGCTATTCTTTCTGGATGTTCAGCTGGTGGATTGGCATCCATTTTGCACTGTGATAGCTTCCAAGCTCTCCTCCCTTTGGGTACTAAAGTAAAATGTCTTTCAGATGCTGGTTATTTTATCAATGTGTAAGCTCATTTTTAGGACCTTTTACCTAGACCTCCAATGTGTAAGCTCATACTAGGAGCGCCGACTATGACTATCATAGTTGACGAATGGCCTTTATGTAATATTACAACATTGTGTTTTTTGACAGGAAGGATGTCTCTGGAGCAAGTCATATTGAATCCTACTTCAGCCAAGTAGTTGCTACACATGTACTCTTCCTTTCTCTCTAACTCAGATAGTCAGACGTATGCTTATATTTAAGATTTTATATTTGTGAGCTCTTTATATTGTCATTCATGCTGATCTTTGGTTAATAGGGATCATAATGACCTGATTAATTCCTTCCCTTTAAACTTTCTTGAAGGAATCAGCAAAGAATTTGCTTCCATCATGCACTTCAACAATGAGACCGGCTATGGTAAGTCCTTTCCTTGCTCTCACTTCCCCAATTTCCTTTGAACGTAATCTCATCAACATACTTATATGTTATTTTACAGTGCTTTTTCCCACAATACATGGCACAGCAAATACAAACACCGCTTTTTATTATCAACGCAGCATATGATTCATGGCAGGTTTGTACATTTTTCCTTCTATTTATCATCAATACAACAATAATGCAAATTATTATGCTCGGTGTTATACATGACAGTGGCACTTTCTTGTAGTCATTTAGTCCTGCTAAACAAACTACTATAAGAAATCACCTTGCCACACCTGCAGCATATACATGAATAACTATTATCTGTTGAGGAATTAATCATTATTGGATCGATTCAGATAAGGAACATTTTGGCACCAGCTGATGCTGATCCTCATGGCATCTGGGAGGACTGCAAGTATGATATAAAGAACTGTTTGCCCAGCCAACTCATGGCCATGCAAGGTGACCATGCCTTTTGTACTAAACACTTCAAAATTGTTGCATTATCATCCATAGCATTGATAATTAAAACAAGATGATGAAAACCAACCTTATTTTATTTGTGTATTTCAGCATTCAGGTCACAGTTCCTGATTTCTTTGCTTCGAATTGGGAAGTCCTCATCTAGAGGAATGTTTATAGACTCTTGCTATGCCCATTGCCAAACCGAGATGCAGGAATTTTGGTTTATGGCTAAATCTCCAGCCTTGAACAAGACGGTAAATATAGATAGACATGCTGCATCTTCTTCCTAATACTTTTGCTTAATCTACTAAAATAAAAATGACTCTTTTGCTTTTGCAGAGGATTGCAAAGGCTGTGGGAGACTGGTTTTATGACCGGACTCCGTTCCAAACGATAGATTGCCCTTACCCTTGCAATCCCACTTGCCGCAACCAAATATATGATTCAGAACACAACCTACAATATTAGATTTATTATTACATATATAATAATTCTTTTACGTATATGGTTTAGATTGTAGGAATATGAACAGAAAAATAGAGGGCATTTATTGTTGATCAAATCATCAAAATAACGGGCTTATGGCGTAAAAGACCAACTAGTTATAAGCCTTAAAAAGATGCATCCATTTTTGACAAAAGCCTACTTTGAGCCCCTCACCTTATTAAGTTTAAAGGTTTTAGTCCCTCATTTTATACTATGATATTTTTAACCCCTCACTTTACTAGATTTGTAGGTTTTAACCCTTCACTTTATTTTATAACACTTTTAGCTTCTCATCTATTAAAATTAAAGAAAATAGCTCTCATTTTGTAACATTTTATTAGTTTTATTAACTAATTGTTAACTCTATTAGCTGACTATTAATTGTCAAAAACCATTCTTTTAACTAACAAAATTAACATAATTAATTTTATAATATTTTTTTAATTCTGTTAATTATTTATTAGTTGACTATTAGTTAATAAAAATCTACTTTCAGCTAACAGAATTAACAGTCAGTATAAAATGAGGGTTATTTTCTTCTATTTTAATAGGTAAAGGGTTAAAATTTATAAATCTATTAAAATAAAGGGATAAAATCTATAAATCTATTAAAATAAGAAGCTAAAAATATCATAAGATAAGATAAATAATTAAAACTTTCAAATTTGATAAGGTGAGAAGTTAAAAATAAAATTTTTACCTCCATTTTTAGTTGCTGAGTTTAAATTTCCCTTCTCTAAATTTGTACCTGTTAAAAAAATAATAAAAAAGATCACCACTGCACTAAACTTGTGTGTTGGGTGGCTGCGTCATTCTTTGTTAATTGTCAAACAAAATTATTATTCTTAATAGGAATCACTTTATTTAATTTAAATTTTATAATGAGCATTCCTCCTTCTTTTAAATTGCACCTGAAAATGTTTTGAAACTTAAAAAAAAAAAAAAAATGAAACGTGGATGAGGAAATAAAGAAAAACAAATTAAGAGGCTCTATTATTTTTAGGCAGGCCATCCCTAACGCTGTATTAATTGATAATTGTTTAACATTCACACTAAAAACGGAGGTGCTTCTGCAAATAATAAAATCCTCTTTATACCCTAAAACTATAAGGTGGTTTGAATTAAGTGTTTTGATACAATTGATAATTGGTATTTGATAAATTAAAAATTGATATATAATGATAATTAATTATTATTATT